GCTTCTGTTGCTTAAATAAAAACACACCATATTAATTTTTCTTTAATATCTATTAGGTACAGACATCGACCTGTTACAATTTTATTATATGTATAGATGTAGATATAGATTTCATTTATTTTATCAATTTAAAACAATAAAATTTTTCAAACAGGTGGCAGCCCTCCCTAAAAATATTTTCGGCAATATAATTTCCTAACCCCTTTCAGTTTGATCCCCATATTGCAATATTCAATTTATCTTATAAATTAAATTAAATGTACATTTTCAAACAGGTGGCAACTCTAAAAAAGTATTTTTGGCTGTAAGCCTTCTTCAGCCTCTTTCTTTTGACGCCCATATTGCACTATTGATTTTTTCTTTTTTTTTTGAGCTTTGATCAGATGGCATAGACTTTTGTCCTCAAACACCAGGTTATTCCTCTTATAAGATGATTTTTTCTTATCAATTTACTTAAACTCCAATTTTCAAAAAGGTGACAGCTATCTAATTTTTTTCTTCCTATATTTTAAGTTAGACCTCTCGCAATACATCGGTGAAAACTGCATTGAAATCCATGCATTCGTTTTCGAGTGATGCGCGAACAAACATACAGACAGACAAAAATTCTAAAAATGGTTGATTTGGCTTCTGCTGCTCTAATAAAGACCCCACACATTAATTTTTCTTTAATATCTATAATGTACAGACATCGACCTGTTACAATTTTTTTATATGTATAGATATCTAGATGTAGATTTAGATTTCATTTATTTTATCATTTAATTCAATAAAATTTTTCAAACAGGTGGCAGCCCTCCCTAAAAATATTTTCGGCAATATAATTTCCTAAACCCTTTCAGTTTGATCCCCATATTGCAATATTCAATTTATCTTATAAATTAAATTAAATGTAAAATTTCAAACAGGTGGTAACTCTAAAAAAATATTTCCTTGCTGTAAGCCTTCTTCATTCTCTTTCTTTTGACGCCCATATTGCAATATTCATTTTTTCTTATCAATTTACTTAAACTCCAATATTCAAACAGGTGGCAACTCTCCAATTTTTTTTCTTCCTAAATTTTAATTTAGACCACTAGCAACACATCGGTGAAGACTGCATTCAAATCCATGCATTCGTTTTCGAGTGATGCGCGAACAAACATACAGACAGACAGACAGACAGACAAAAATTCTAAAAATGGTTGATTTGGGTTCTGGTGCTCTAAAAAAGACCCTCCACATTAATTTTTCTTTAATATCTATAATGTACAGACATCGACCTGTTACAATTTTATTATATGTATAGATATTCCAATGTATATTTTTTGTTAATGCAGATAGTGCGGATTTAACGTATTTTATAACCGTTACATGGGGAAAATAAATTTTAGGCAGATTGTTATTACAAATTTTTACATAATTTACGATTGCAATCAATTTCTTTCAAAACTATAATGTAAATGATTGCAAGTTGTATTTTTTACGATCAAAACAGATTCCAATATTAGGTATATTATGCAAATGCAATCCAATTTGATTTGAGTTATTCTGTTTTAGATACATTTATATTTCTGTGTTCGTATGGAATAGTAGTTTATGTCGGGAAGCTGGCTTTAGTATAATCCGGCATTCCCTTTATTATTTACAACACAAGGAATTTTTTGATGACCCTTAACAAGAATATGGACGTGCTAGTATCGGAACTATTTCTTGCACGTTTATTTATCCAAAATTTCTTCAACGGCTCGGCGCCAGTGAGGGTATGCTGCGAATGCCGCATTATACTAAAACCAGCCTTTCGACATAAGCTACCATACGAGTGGAGCACGTGCGAAATGCGGATTTTCCCAGTTGCAGTACAGCAGCAAGAATGATAGAATACTTTTGTATTCTCTCAATCGTGGTACAGCAGTAACTCGACACCTTCCTCACCAACCGCTCTGTCCTCTATGAGCTTCTTAATGTAACTGCAAATAAAAGATGGAAATTTGAGAAAAAATACTATCACAGCGTTTCACTTGTAGCGTTTCACTCTTGTAGTATATTGGCTATCGCATACATTCGCCTGAAAATGTATCGCAAATTATTAACTTGTCGCTGCACGATGAAATTAACTTACCATTAGGGCTGAATTTTGCTGCGCGCACCCATTTGTGAGTATTTTGATGGCTGTTCGCCATTTTTCTAGTCGGCAAACAAATAAGCTGACGAAGAAGCAAACAAATTCAAGCACATTGTTGCATTCTACCGTACTTTTTAAAAGGTTTAAAATCTTAAAACTTATGTGAAAAACTTTTATAATCTGAATATTTCTAATGTCGCAATCAAAACCAAATTTTATAAATAGCATTTTTAAAAAGCAATAATCTAATATTTTTCAAGTTTTTGGGTATATATGTTACCAATTGAACAACAAATACTACCAAGTTTTAAGAGACTATTTAATGCAACTCAGGTCAAAAAAGAGGAGGTTAGACCAAAATAAGCAACTCTAAAAAACAGATGATCGCAGCTGTGGCCCAGGATGACGTCTATTGCTAAGATATCTGACTTGTATTTGTACACAATGATCTGCACTACATTCATTTTTGTCGGAAAGTCCTTTTCCAATATTCAAATACACAACAACAACAAAACCTCGTTAAAACATTTTATCCATCGCCTGCTACCATTTAAGATTCCTTTTCGAAAATTCAAATATAGGCTGCATTCCAAAACGTCAAAATACAAAGCATCAGTATTATTCTAAACGTAGTATTTCTAAACCGCACTAGAAGAAAAAGACTAACTTGCGCAACCTATAATTTGTATATTTTTTAATTTTTTTTATGAAAAATTAAGTTCATTCTTTAACAAACACCATATCAACAGCCAGTTCGCCCTATCTTATTTTCAATATATGTACACACATTTTTTCAGTTGGGATACGGAGTTTTTTAACCAAATTCTGAGATAGGGCGTTCAACCGAATTCTGAGAATGGCTGCTTTCGAACCGGCTGTCGATATGGTGTTTGTTAAAGAATGAACTTAATTTTTCATAAAAAAATTAAAAAATATACAAATTATTGGTCGCAACCATGATACAAAAAACAAGGTAGTTTCAATAAACAACTTTTTGATTAAAAAGCAGATTTTTGACAATTGCTCAATTGTGAAAAATTGGAAGCGGCGTTACCCAATTGTAAGTTTTTTGGTGAGGGAGATTTTATATCCTAAATTTGGGATTATAAAGAAAATAGTTGTATTAATATATACCTTTTAAAAATAATCAATATCTTATCTTAAAAACGTTTAAATTTTACATTAAATTCGATGACAACTTGCCAAATCGTTATTTTAATATTAGTACAATTTTAGTGAACATATTTTAAAATTTTTTTAGTGTCCTCATGTCATCTCATTATTTCACAATGTAGTTTTCTATATCGGATACGATGATTCTGATGTAATTCAGACGCTGAAATTACACATGTCGATGTGTTATTTAATACTCATTGTCTTTGTCCATTTAACAGCAAATGGAATTTACTTTAGGACCCATGGGCCGTAAAATTTTTCTAGCAACACATATTGTTTTCACATGAAATTTTGACACACCTAAAATTTAAGTATAAAATAAATAGATAAAAATAAATTTTCAATCAAACTGATTTGTGTAGTCCTGGGGCGTCTTTGGTAAATGTTTGGAGGCTGTTTTAATATATCCTATCTTATTATATATTTTTTAGCTTTACTACATTCTGAGAAGTTGAGAGAATGAAGTCTAATATTCTTTTTTGGTCAACTATGATGTTTGATTTCATTTTTTGCAATCATTAGTTCATTTTGTTTGAGGAGTCACAATGCCCATACCGGCTGTACCGATTTTTTTGAAATTTCGTACACAAATTTTCCAAGAATGGCTATAGGCTAAAACAAAACCGATATCTAAAGGCGTGTGGAACCTCCCACACAAATCGAATTCTTCATAGTGCGTATCTCTGGAAGTATTTGTGATAGAGTCCTGGAACTTTGTATGGATATATGTATGGATTTATTGGAAAATGCGGCGTGCCACCGTAGAACTTGGAATAGAGGTAACTGCAATCAATCCAGAACCTATGAAAAATGGGGGTATATGAAAACGATCTCGTAGCCATTGAAAAGAGTTAGCGGTATAAACCAAATATGTAAACTAAAATTCTTGTGACGCACAGATATCTCTGGAAACATTTACCTAGAATACTGAGATGAGGTATTTTTCCAACGGAAATATGTACAGAAAAACGGGCGCGACACCTTCTGGAAAGTAACATGATCACAGGATGTATCCCGAGAACCATTTTAAGCCAAACCTTCAGGGATACATTCTTGCCAAGACCCATAGGCATAAGCTGAAATTTCGTCGCAAGTTTTATCATCGGCTTAGGTAAGGTTTAACCACTTAACCCCCCTTTGTTTTCGTCGCTAGTGAATTCCATAAACTGTCAACTTTCACACAATTAAAATGTACATGTAAGAACAAAATATTTTTAAATCGACAAAAAATTAATAAGAAAATTTGAAGGATTTTAGATATTGGGTATGGTAGCACGAAATGTCACAATCTGCTTAATTGTCAGGTTGTTAATATGGCGACGAAAAAGTGACAATGGAACTACCTTGTTTTTTTGTATAATGGTCGCAACTATATAATTGATTCGTAAATGTAAATATTAAAAAAAATAGCTGTAAATATTAATATACAGCGGTCGAAATAATTTTAAAGATTTAGTCAAAGAATGAATTATATTTTTATAAGAAAATAACCTAAATTAAATACTTACATTACTTTCTTTTTATTTGCTATGTGCTTCGTTAATGTAAATACTGAAAAAAAATTTTTTCTAATATCTATTTGCTTCCTGAATGTGTTATATAATTTTGTATATTTTAAACTTCTTCACCCTATTTCTGTCCCTTTTTAAAAATATTAATATATTTTTAAACTTTATTTGAAATGTTTAAATTGGTGTTGGATTAACTTAATTAATAGTCTTGTAAATATGAGCATGATTTTATCTAAATAAGCTGATTTTTACTAAACTATAGTCATCTGCTTTTTGTATAAATAAAATCCATTATTTATGAATTATATTTCATTTGAGAAATAATAATTTGTTACTTTATTTTTCAGATATCAGAATCTAACTGGTTGCATCCACAATAATAATTTTACCATTTTATTTTAATTTCAGATTGCTGTGCAAAAGACGTGTTGAAGCATCAGCAGCTACGTTTATAAAAAATATATATTTTAATATATAAATTATTTATTTTTAGCTATTTAAATTTTTTTAATTTTTCGTTTAGATTGTATATATCGGAGTCATTGGATAATGAAGGTCTTCAACATGTTGGATGAAAGGGCAAGGGACAGTCTGACAAAGCATCCTTAGAAATGTCTCGATTCAGACGAGGTAGTTGCTTAATTACTAATGAACTTCAATTTTGCATACTTATAATTGTTTTATTTATTTTTTTAATATTTAGCGGAAACTTATAATACTCTCAACAAATTGCAATTTAATCTAACTGAGGATGAGGAAAATTACGAATGTTTGCAAGCGCCAGATGAGATAATTGTTTTAGACACTACTGCTGCATCAAGCCAGTCACAAGACATAACGCTACAAGCGCCACTATCGAATTCCGAAAATTTGGTTACACATGATGTCAATGTGTTATTCTCGAGCGGCTCCATGGATATAAGTAATTTATGCAACTGGCCGCTAGAAGCTACACATAGTCAAAGTCTATATATAAGTCGGAAAAACGCAATCAAATTTTGCAAAGTTGTAATGAAACTGAATTTTTTTGAACCAGTATAAATGATTTGCAACTGTTAATATACATCAAAAGAAAGGTAAATCGATTACCTTTCTTTTGATTATAACATTGTTAAAATCGCTTAACTTTTTTATAGAAATTTTGCAACTTTTGAAAACGTCTATATATAAGTCGGAAAAACGCAATCAAATTTTGCAAAGTTGTAATGAAACTGAATTTTTTTTGAACCAGTATAAATGATTTGCAACTGTTAATATACATCAAAAGAAAGGTAATCGATTTACCTTTCTTTTGATGTATATTAAC